AATACATCTTCTTTTAGGAAAAGAGCTTTGTCAATATGCCGCGTCACACCCAGAGGAACGTGAGAAAGCCCAAAGTTCCCTGTGTATATTTCCATACGTTGAGCCGCAACGGTTGGAAGCCATCAACAATGAATCTGCACATAGTGGTCTATACAATAATCAGGTGCGGATTTTGTCGCAAGGCGGATTTGCCGCGGAAGAAACTTATTGCAATCTCACCACCATTCGTCATGGGGCGGCGTTTGCAATTGACGCCGCGTACACAGTTATTGACAGCGTTGATCGAGCCGTGAATGCGGGGGTGAGTCTCAACCTTAGTGCTAACATTATGCCTTTTGTTCGGTCCACCTCAATAGATGGCTTTACGGGGATGTTTACTATTGACAAGGCGGGGAATCGTGACTTGGCGCCGTTTGGTGTTGATATTCAAATGGTAAATCGTACTCTTTACCTTGGAATGTGGAGTAGCAACCAAACATCACCGTTTCGTTACACAGCCACTGAGCCTATTGTCTGGATGACGGGCAGTAGAGAGACTCCGGCGGACACCTTCCGTGATATCCAATTCATCCTAGGCACAACTGTCTCGGCAAGCCCGGGTACCATTGTTCTCTCGGTGTTGGGCTTTGTTGGCACCATCGCCGTCTTTGCCTTTTGTTATCGTCACTACAAGTTGCAAAAACTTGTGGAGCTTAGCCTTCAGAGCAATCGCGTCCCCGTCACGGAGGATGAGATGCGGCGGCTGCGGGGCACGCGATCGCTTGGGTCCGACTTGTAGTGATGGGAGTGGAATCAAGAAGAGGGGATGGGGGAAGAGGATGAAGGGAAATGAATTAGATAGCTTCTCCCTTCCGCACTTTTCGGTGCAACCGCTTCCCCTGGTTTTTGTTTTTGTTTTTTACTTTCTGGCGCGTACTTCAATTCATTGTGTTTGTCCGTTGTTGTTGTTGTTGTTTTATCTTTCATATCGATGACCCCCCTGCTCTTCCTCTGCGGTTTCATGCAGCCGCATGGGTATATGCCGTGGGTAACTTTCTGTCTGTGGAGTGGGTGCCGCGAATTTTCTTTTTCTTTTTTTTTTCTTAACCAACAAAAATTTGATTTGCCCCGCTTCTATGCGTGACCCAATAAATGCGTGCGGCCATGTGACACATAAAAGTGAAGCGCAAAGAGCATTAAGGGGAGACGATTTTTGTGTGGGGTTTCGGAGCAGTTGACAGGGCGTTCGACCGACGAGGGGAGTGCGAATTCTACCGCGGGTTGTTTTAGAGCGAGCCAGGGGAGAACAGCAGCGCACGGAGGGCATAAAAATAAGCGGGAGGAGGAGGAAACGAGGAGGGGCCAGCGGTTGTAATTTTTTTTTTTTTTTTGAGGAGGGGGGCGGGTCTCATTGAGGGCACTCAATCTTAAGTGTGCGCAGAGTGCAACAGGGTTTGCTGCTCTGGCTGAGTCGCCGCACACACCCTTCCCTGGAAGGAGACAAACACACAAACAAAAAAGAAAGGGGCGGAGGCGCAGAGGGACGAAGACGACACCGAAAGGGAATTAAGTGCGGAAAACAAACGCACGCAGATTAAGAGCAAAAGGTAGAAGAATAAAGGGGGGTTTGGTTTGTCGCAATGTCGCTTTTTCTCACTGGTGATCGTTTCTCTTCTTTTCTTTTTGCGCCGGAGGCACCTGAGCATCACGAGAAGCACATAGAGGAACTTGTCTCGCGTTCACGTCAGGGTCCTTTTGAAAACCGCAAGGCGTACACGTTCCCATTGGATGTGCCTCTCACGACGGCGGATGTGGAGCGATGGGGTAAACGCCTTGATGAAAGTGCCCCGCCGCCAGAGGCACCGAACGCGGCGTTTGCAGGCGGTGGCTTCATTGATGCCGCGGCTGCACTTTCGATGAGTGATGGAGCCGAACGGGAGCGCGCTGTGCATAAACTTGCCCCGATGAAGTTATTTGACCCAAAGCGAGTGGATCGTAAGCCCATGACGAAAATTCTCGTTCACCGACGCAAGTGGTTGCCGTACCGTCAGCGGTTGCCTGTGTATCAGTGTCGCGGGCCTGTCCTTGACGCACTGCGCAATAGCCAAGTATTGGCGCTTGTAGCCCCTCCCGGCAGCGGCCGGACTCTGCAGATGCCACAGATTATATCGGAGACAGAAATTTTTAAGAGCAAGCGCGTTATTGTTGTCTGCCTGACAAGTCTTTCCGCTTGTCGCACGGTGGAGCGACTCCGTGAGGAGCGCGGTGAGGATGCCACATCGAGGACGGTGGCTGTGTGTACACCAACCCGTTACGACGTAGAGGAGGGAACATTGATTGCAGTCACCACACCAGAGATGCTCGTCCGTCAATTGTTATGCGACCCCTTACTAATAAATGTTGCTTGTGTAATTTTGAACGATATACATTTGAGATCACCAATCACAGAGCTTTGTATGTCACTTCTCCGCAGTACACTGCGGCAATTGAGGGAGGAAAATGGAATTAAAAGGCGTGGAGGATCTTTGCATGTGGTGATTGACTGTTTTGAAGATGCCGTTGCCACAACGATTGTAGAATTTTTTGGTAAAGAGTTTACAGCCCGTCTAAATCTTTCTCAGGTGCTACAGCAGGATCTAAAGACGTCGGGTACTGAGGCGCAGCACCTCAACGAAGTATGGTCTCCCTCGTGTGTAATGCTTCTTGAGGAGACGATGCAATGGCTTGCGAAGTGTGAGGAGGAGGGTAGCTTTATTCCTCGTGACCCGGCCGAGGATCTTCGCAACTATGTGGAGAACATTGGGGTGGTGGCGAGGATTATGGCAGCGGAGGAGGCGGAATTCACGAATGACGAGAAACTTCGATCCTACTGGTGCCCAATCATTGTGCAGGCAGTGAAGAAATACGACTGTGCGGAGCGAGAGGATGCTTTACGAGGCGCCGATCAACAAAAGCAAGAAGAAAAGCGACAGCATCTGCCATCTGTTGTCGTCATTGTTCCAAATGCACACATCGCCTCTGTGGTAGAGGAGGCACTTCGTCTCGCGTTGGGTGATTCAACGGACAATGAAGATTTGGAGCAATCAACATCGTTTTCATTGCATCTTCTACTGGACTGTCTCACGGTGCAGGAGGTGGATTGTGTGTTGCAGGCCGGCGAGGCTGCGACGAGGGGTGGAAGGCGACTGGTGTTGTTGACAACCCCCAACATTGCGCACTCGGCTCTTCCATCCACAAGGGAAATTGGTCTTGTGGTGGATTGCGCACGACGTTCTTACGCATCGTACGATGAAAGCACCGATGCAGACGTTTTTGTCACAACTTACAGCCTTGTGCAAGAGCTACGCTACCGTCGGACGATTGCCCGTCTTCGCCGAGGTGACGGTAACAAGGGCGAGCAGGACGTTGCTCGATTCCCAGTGTGCATGGTGGTTCAATTAATTTCTAAACCTATCCTCTACGGCACCAAACATCGTCACATCAGCGTGGATCCCGGTCACCACTCTATTTTTAATCTAGGCTGGGATGAGTACGTGCAGCTGTATCACCTCTTGCAGGCACGAGAAGAGGGGCTGCGCTGCCGCGAAACCGGCGCCAGTTTGGAAGATTCGGAGAATAATTACCTCCTGTCCTCGATGGTTGCACAGTTGGTGCCCTTTATTTTTATCGGTGTTCCAACCGCGTCAACAAGCCGTTATGAAAAGCTGCGTCGTACCTTTTTAGCGGTCGAGCATCACCTTCAGCGATTGGGTCACTTGGAAATTAAGAGTGCGGATTCCATTCCACGTTTATCACCAATTGGCGTGGCTGCCACGTGTTTCTCATGGCCTGTTGAGGTAGTGCGCCTCTTGATGTACTCGCGACTCCATGACTGCGTTGTGCCAGCGAGTGTTATTGCGGCAGCGTGGATGGTGGGCAATATGTTCTTTGTCGGGAAGATGGAAACGGACACGGAAGAATTAATGAAAGAGGCCCGTGTGTTCTTTTCTCAAGATTCCGGCAGTGATGTCGCGAGTGTTTTTAACGCGTACCACACGTGGCTTTCTTCACGTAACGTGTCCACAGAAGCACAGGACGCCTTTTTTAATGAGACTCTCACCTCGAAGAAGGCCTTTATGCTAATTGAGGCCCAACAAATAGAGCTACTGCGCGTGCTGGAGGCGACGGATGTGTTTCGACTGCCTTCTACTTGTAAGTTGTCATGTAACGACGGGGACGGTGGCGGGTCTACTGTGAAGAACGCAGGGGCAACAGATGTCACCAAGGCAGTTACTACCAGCACGATCGACGCGGCTACCGTAGCATCCCGGATTCTTGAAATTCCGGTGAACAACCTAGATGAAGGAGAAATGGTTTTTCGATGCGTGACGTCTGCGGTGTATCCGTCCTGTGCAGTGCCACACAGTGATGGGAGAGTGTCAAGGTTTGGATTTCCGGACAAACTAATAAATGCGACAGCAAATGGCTCAACTACACTTCCCCTTCGAGCGACCATGCAACCAGCCGTCTTTTCACACCGATCCGTGATGAGTGTTGAAGAGGTATACCAGCGCCATGCGGAAAAGCCGTTCTTATACTTGTTTCGCACACGCGTCGCGGAAAAGGGGCTTGACGTCTTGAAGGAAGCGGTACCACTTTTTACTGATGCCGCTGTTGTTGCGTGCGGCAACTGGCACGAGTGGCCGAAGTCACCGGCAACACGCTGTCGTGGATGGACCTCGGTCCTAACAAACACCTGGCGCCAAACAAAACGTGCTCGTCGTCTCCCGCCACCCGCCCAATTACCGGCGGTTTCTATAAAATTAAAGCCATATGACACGGTTCAGGCGAGGCCAGTTTTTGTGCAAGCCGATGACACGTTTGCGTTCGGTATGCGGTCAACAACGGCAAAGTGGCTGCAGCAGATGCGGGATCAGGGCCGTCGGCGAATTCGAGCTTTGTTGTGTGATAAGTCATGGCCTGCAAGCAGCGAAGCATCACTTGGACTGAAGGAAGCATGGGAGTGGTGGTCGAGACGAGGCCGTGGGGCTCAGGATTGGTTGCGGGAGGAGCGTACCACTCATAATACGGCAATCAGTAATGGCTTGAAGCCCGGCGATTCCTTGTATCCTTATTATCAGTACAGTTCAAATCCTGGACGACCGACAGCTGTAGTGCCTCCTAAGAAGCACATTGGCTCTTCCACGACAAACTCGTTTTCTGCGATTTCTTCCGCTGCCGTTGCCGCCGCTGGTGGTGTTGATGGTGTTGCCTTTACTGCGGCCTCCGACGCAGCTGCGAGGCAATCGACGGCGTATGTTGGCAAGCTGCCCGACCCTGTGATGGATAAAAATATTCAGCACCTGGCACAGAGCATTGCAAAGGCCCGTTCCCGCGAGCAAGAAGCTACCTTTTTGAAGATGTATCCCGACTTATTTGCCTTTCTTCACCCGGAGCACGAGTTTCACGGCTATTATCTTCATGTGCTTCGCCGGTTGGACCCTGACCTGGAAATTTTGGGTGATGACTTGGATGAGCTAGAAAAGTTTCTGAAGGAGCTTGAGGAAGAGGTGCAACGCGAGGTTGGTATAACCGAAGGAAATGTGGATCCCTCTTACGAGGCGCAGACATACAATGCTGTTGACGCAGCAGTTGATCCGGGCAGCAATGCACAATATCAGTTCCAGGAGGTGAATGCAGAGGAGTATATGGCGTCTTATGGCATGCAGGTCGAGACAGCCGCGGAGCATGCAAGGAGGCCAAAAGCATTATTTAAAATGCATGACGGGCGTGCGTCTGGACCAACCGCAGTGGATGGAACGGCACCAGAAGCAACAAAGTTGGGAAAAATGGGAGAAGAAGCTCCTACGGCGTCCTCGTTCTTTACTCAACCCGCTGTGTCGGATAATCAAAACAAACCGGCTGTGCTCCCAGACTTACCCCTCGAGAGCGTGACCGCGAGAAAACCACTTCAAGTGGATCCTAATGCTTCCATCGGAAACTTTACATTTGACAGGGGATCAAAGACGGAGGGGCCTGTTTTCCCTGCCAACGAAGCCGCCGAAAGCAATAGAGGGATGAGTGGTGGTGGTGGAATGACGCTCATGGAGCGTCTCTTGGCAATGAAGGGGGGAACTTCTGCAGCAGCGGACAAAACAGCAGAACCGGTGTCGAGTGGTACCCCGAGAGAAAATGTGCCATTGCAAACGTCTTCAGCTCAGACAGTACCCCTCGTGACTGTTGGGGTGTGGCCTTCTACGCCTCTTCCAATTTCTCAATCCCCTGCGGCAAATCTCCCGACAGCCTCTTCTGGGACTAGTCTACCGGTGGAAGCAGTTTCCCAGCAGGCACCGACGGCAACAATTGCAGCAGCCAACGCCCCTACTGCAGCAGAGTTACTGGCGTTGATGGGCGTTATTCCTTCCACGCCGGCATTAAATCCACTCACAATACCACCCCCGCCACTTCCAGCGGAAGTTGTGGCCAGTCGCCATCCATCGATCCTTGCGTATCCGCTGCCACCGCGAGAGTTTGGCAACATTCCTCTCATTCTCGCAAAGGCGCTGGGCGAGACAATGGGAGTCAAGGTGGGGCCAACACGCATCGTTGGCAACATCGCGCGCATCGATGTGCCCAATCACAAGGTGGAGGCACGTGCACTGGCGCTCAAGTCCTTTACTTGTTTGGGCAAGAAGGTGAATATCTTTAAAAATGACCGCATTATTGACGGCGTGCGCCCCGTTTTTAATAAAGGACAAACGACGAGGTCGACACTACGCGAGGACGTGACACGCCTACTTCATAGAGCGGATTACGGCCCCGAGGAGCTGGAGGACGACGAAGACAACAACAACAATGATGATGATGGGAGTCATAACGCAGGGTTACCACTGCATGAGTCAAACAACGGAGTTGGGCCCGTCTTCCCGCACTATCATCATTACATGCAACAACACGAACAAGAGCTTCCACCCGATGAACCAGCAGTGCCAAAGAAGTCAGCTCATCCGCCACAAATTGGTCTTCTGACCGACTCGGAGGACGACGACGACGACGACGCAGACTCCTCCAGCAGTGCGGAATCGTCGGAATTAGTCCAATCATGAGAAAATCACCTCCCACTCACTTACTCTCATAGTTCTTCTTCTTATATATATGCACAACGCTGAAAGAAAGCAGAACCACAACTGAAGAAGGGAAGAAGAAAAAACAGCGTGGAAGAAATGGAAGTTTAAAAAAAAAAAAAAGAGGCGGAGCATCCAACAGGCCCAGAGGATGCGCCGCCGCCATCACGACGGGAGTAGCAGAAGCAACAAGGGCAAAGCGAAAGCGGATGGGTGGATGGGGGACACAACAGTCTGGCGGAAATTCGGCCGTGGAATTGTGTGATTGTGGCTGCGGTAACTGGAAGGAATTAAAGGGAGGCTGAGACGGTAAATGATTGCTAATAAAAGAGGGAATGAAAAAGGAATTTTAAGAAATTAGTCACGTCTTTTCCCCATGACTGCTGCCGCTTCTGTCCCCACTGCCGGTGTCGACATGTTGGGAGCCTTTAATTCCATTAGATCCACAGGGCACCTCCGACGACAGCAAAAAAAAAGGCAGAAAAAGAAACAAAGGCGGCGGGTATTTATATTTTTATTGGCATTGGACCTTCTTTTTGTTTCTTTTTTGTTATCTTATTGTTCCTCTCATTCCGCATATTTACTGTCCTTTTGTTTCTTTTTTTTTCCTGCGTGTGTGTGTGTGATGACTGTATCATGCGGATCAATTAAATCCTGCTCATGTGGGAAAGAACGACGGGCTTTAAGTGGCATGCGTCTATTTTTCCCCTTACCCACTACCTCTTTCATTTGGATTTCGCTCTTGCGTGAATCATTTTGGTGTCGCTGCGTATTATTGCCGTTTTGCCCCTTATTTATTATTTTTTATTTTTTATTGTGTTGATTCTAGCAAGTGCGGAAAGGGAAAGTCCCTAATTGCGCAAGCAGGCAGCGGGATGAGTTACGGCTGCAAACTGCGGGTTGGCTGTGATAAAGCGTTGCACACTGAGACGTTCAGCGCGCCAGGCACACATGGTCGTGGACAGGCGGCGATACCACCGACGGCTCTACCGGATGTGCCGACGATATCGAACATCAAAGTTACATCGGCTGCAGTGAAGTTGCCGGGACGACATGCGCCAGTGAAGGTCGAGGAGTCAACTAGGAACATTAACGCGAATGAAGAAGAAGCAGAGGGGAATAGCGATGTGCCCACGTCAGAGTCTTCTCCCACCACCTCCACTACCCGAAGTGTGGAAACCATGACGTTTGATGTAGAACGCATCAGCCCACCGATTGCGAACATGTTTCGCCGACTGATGATGACTGAGGTCCCAGTCCTTGCATTTGACCGCATGCTCATTGAGGAAAATGACAGCGTCGTGCCGGACGAACTTCTTGCCCATCGCATCGGCCTTGTTCCAATTGCTGGTCCTGTGTTGAAGATGCAGTTTGTAACGGAATCGAATCAAGTAGGTTTTGATGCTCTTGATCCGCAACGTGTTTTGGTGTTTGAACTTGCTGCTGAAGGACGGCGTGATGCAAAGTCGACGAGTGTCTACAGCGGCGATCTTAAGTGGAAGCCGCTTCCAGGGCAAGAAGCGTGGGCAACTGGTGCCGACGAGGACCGTGTGTTTCTTGTCCATCCCGACATTATATTGACGAAGCTAGGGCCTGGACAGCGTTTAAAGCTGCGGGCGATTGCTCTGAAGGGCATTGGTGGTGTGCACGCGAAGTGGACCCCCGTCTCTGTCTGTTTCTACGAGCTCAAGACAAGCATTTATTTACGTGAGCCGATTCGTGGGGATTGTGCAACGAAATTACAACGCATTTGTCCTGTTGGTGTCTTTGGCGTGAACGAGGAGGGGGAGTCGGAGGTGGCGGAGGTGGAGAACTGCACGCTTTGTCGCGAGTGTCTCCGCCGTGACATGTACCCCGAAATCGCCGACAAGATTGTCGTCGAAAAGGACAAAACCCGCATGCGGTTCACCATTGAAAGTATCGGGCAGCTGCACGCGTCGCAAATATTCCGGTATGCCCTCGCTTTGTTCGCCGAACGCGTTCGTGATTTGGCCGGGCGTATTCGCGGCACGGAGGCCATTGTCACGGGTGCAGCCGCCGCAATACCGTCCACCTAATACGAGGGGAAACAACTGACATGGAGACACCACAGCCACCCAAAAAAAAAAAAAAAGATTAATAATAATAATAATAATAATAAGCAAGAAAAACAAAGGGGATTGGCAGAGAAGAGAGATGTGTGAATGTACATGCAAGGGGAAGAACGGCAGCGGAGTGTGGGAGGTTTAGTACGGTGAAGGGAAGGAGAGACGCAAAAGGACTGGGATGCAGAGAGGCTCGACGCGTCGAGTTTTCCCCCCTATCCCCACTCCCTTTTTTTCTTTCTATCTCCAAATCACTGGTGGTGCGCCGGATGCCCCTAGTTTACTTTTGTCCGACAATCGCTCGTTACTTTTTCCGTACTTTTTGTCTTTTTTTTTACACATTTCTTTCCTTCTCTCTTTTTCTTTCTGTGTTATGCGGACTCACTCGTATAAAATATCAATCAGGCATGATGCACATGTTTCTCTCTGTCTTGTATCTCTCTCTCTCTCTTCACAAATACACACGCACGCGTTTGTTTGAAACTTTTATGCATGTATGTGCATTTCCTTCTTTACGTGTCTCTCTACAATGTTGTGCAGTTTTGGCGGGGAGTAATGTGCTCTAAAAATCCCCCTAAATCATCCTCCCTTGTTGTTGTTGTTGTTGTTTTTACTTTTGTCACTGACCTGCTGCTTCTGCTGCTGTTCAATACGTATCCTTTCAGTCATCGTGGCAGTTCCTATCATACAAGCAGTAATTTACCCTGCAACTTTGGCACGGGCAGCCCTAGCGGTGGGTGTTTAGGAGAGGCGAAACCACACGTACGGCAGGGGAGAAAAGAGGCCAAAAAAAGAAAAATGACGCGGGGAAAGGGACGCAACCCAGGTGTGGGTAACTTGGACAAGCACATCAAGCGGACGATCCACAAGGAACGCTCGCAGCCGGCCTCCCGCAAACATTTAGGACAGCTAGAGAAACAAAAAGACCATGTCGTACGCTCTAGGCGTCGCAAAGCAAAGATGCAGAAACTCCTGCAATTGAAGCGCGCTGCGGCACAACGTAACCCCGATGAGTTCCATATTGGCATGACAAAGGCTGTCTTAGATATCGCATCAGGGAAGATGAAACAACGTGCGGGATCAAAGGAAGGAAATCAGAAAAAGACACAAAAAGTGCTAGAGCAGAATACACGCAATGTTCAGTACCTCCAATACAAGGCACAGGCAGATCTTCACCGCGCGAAGGAGCTCCTCAATGAGGATGCATCGATAGCCATCACCTCCGCACCACCAAAGAATAAGCACATTGTTTTTGTGGAGAATGACGAGGAATTCCGTCGCTTTAATCCCGTTAAGTACTTTGACGCAACACCAGAGATGCTTAAGCAGCACCCTGCTGTTCGAGGGACAATTTCGATTCTTCAAAGCACTGTTTTGCCGGAGGAGGTGCTGTTGACGGGTCCACGAATGCTTTCATCGTCCCAGCGGCGCCGTGAGCGTCGTGAAATGCAAGAAAAACTCCGAAAAAGTGGTGTTAAAACCGCAGAGGAACGTGAAGCTCTTGTGAAGCGCCTTCGTGCCAAAAAGGACATGAAGAAGTACCGCTTTTCTTCCCTGGTAGAGGAGGCGGCGACATCCGCCGCGGCAATTGGTGGTGGTGGTGGGGATGGGGATGAGGAAGAGCCACGAGACGATGTGGAGCTCATCTTGCAGCAGAGGCGAGAGAAGGAGCAGCAGGAGGCGGCGCTAGCGGCAAGGAACCTGAAGGAGATTCAACAACGCGTGGAACGTAGCAGGAGCCTTCACGCCTTGGCAAAGACGATCAAGCGGCAGAATGAGGGCCTGCGGAAAAGCCTGGAGCAAAAGCGTGAGTCCCGCTTCAAACCAAAAGCCGCACGTCGCGCTCGCTGAGTGTGAAGGTGGAGTGAGTGATTGAATGCCGGACCTCCCATGCCTGTTGTGAGAGATCCTGCGGAAAAGAAAAGCTCACATTTTCCACTTCAAAAAAAAAAGAAAAGAAGAGGAGAGAGATCATCCATGCCTCCACAGACGATTAATGTTTTTGTTCCCCTGCCACCATAATAAAAGAACGCAGGGTACATAAAATGTGCGTGGAGCTTCTCTTTTGAAAGGAAATATTTTAAACAACAAAAAAGAAAATAAAAATAAAAGGCATCTGTTCTTGAAGAAAAACAAAGACGACATGTCTCTTCCGCAGGTACGCGGTCACGTGGTTTTGATTGCCGAGTGGTGCGCTCACATTACATTTCGTTACGCTTCTTTTCTTGTGTTTTCCTACAGGAATTTCTTGCAGCGCAGGAAAAAGAGTAGAGGTGTCGTTAAAGGAGGAAGAAAAGTGAGAATATATCCCTCAATATTTATACACACGCAAAGAAGTTGAAAGGAAACAATAAAAAAGGCACGGGCTGGAGAGAAGACGAAAAAAAAAAAAAAGGACCCAAAGTTATGCAAAGCTATTCCCCCGCAGGATCCCCTTTGAACTCTGCGCGTCCGGCGTCCACACCGAGAAGGCGGGAAAATGACTTTCGACGGGTACATTCATCCAGATCTATCACCACCACGCATCACCGCTCGATAGTGGAACTTTCACAGGGGCAAGGAAATGCTATGAGGGTGTATGTGCGTGTGAGACCATTTAGTGAACGGGAGTTGTCGTTGAGCATGCCACATCACAGCACGGTACGTATTGATGTGGAAAACCCATGCCTGATTACGCTGTTGGATCCTCAGAAGGATTTTCGGCCTCGCGAAACATTTAGTTTTACTCGTTGTTTCTGGTCTGTTTTGGAGCAGGGTAACAATGATATGTGCCGTGGAAGGACTGCTGGGGAAATCCGTGGATCGATTGATATGTTTATCAACAACAATGCATCCTCCGCACGAGGCAATCGGAGCCGATGCTTGAATACAAGCCTCTCCAACACCAGCGTTTTGTCTGCGCGTGGGCGCGCGGCTGCTGAGAATTCAGTCTCGTTTGAGGGCGCAGGATCAAATGCGGCGATTGTTGCGGGGTCGGTGGTTACCCATCCACCCTACAGCTCTCAGCAGGATATTTACGATGAGGTTGGACGCCCCATATTAGAGAACACCTTGGAAGGGTACAATGGGTGTGTCTTTGCGTACGGACAGACTGGCAGTGGGAAAACTTTCTCCATGTTTGGTTATGCCCCAAAGAGTGCTGATTTTCATTTGAACTTTAAGCACCAGCATGTGGCGTTTGAAGATTATGAAGAGGATGATTGCGAAGTCTCTAAGCCGTCTATTAGTTTTGCCTCACCCGCACGTTTTAGCCGTGCATCCCTACTGAGCAGTCAGAACAGTCTAAAGGATGGTTTTGCCCCGCAATTGGGTACACAAGGAAATATGGATCGCCCGGCGGTAGACATTGTCGACCATACAGGAATGGACCCTAATGAACTGCAAGGCATTATTCCCCGCATCAGTGCCGACCTTTTTAGTGGATTGCGCGAAAAGCGGGATACGGACCCCTCACACTCCTACCGCGTCGAGGTGGAGTACTATGAGATTTACAATGAAAAGGTGTATGATTTAATTCGTCCCCAAAAAGATGCCGATTTAAGGATTCGCCACAACCCCGTCAGTGGACCGTACGTGGAGGGACTCACTTCCAAAGTGGTTGCCAACGAGGAAGAAGTTGCGAGAGTAATTCGCAAGGGGAGCGTTGAGAGACACACCGCAGCCACAAAAGTCAATGACCGCAGCAGTCGCAGCCACGCCATTATTACATTGAATATCATGCAGCTAATCCTTGACAAGAACGATAACACTTGCAAGAAACAGAGCAAGTTGAATCTTGTCGATCTTGCAGGCTCGGAGCGCACAGGTGCTGTTGGGGCGGAGGGAAAACAGTTCCTGGAAGGGACCAAAATTAATCTTTCTCTCACCACCTTGGGCCGAGTCATCGACTGCCTGGCCGATCTCGCGCAGTCCAAGTCACTTTCCGTGCCTGTGCCATATCGTGACTCCAACCTCACGTGGCTTTTAATGGACTCGCTTGGGGGAAACAGCAAGACGTCGATGTTGGCCACCATCTCCCCCCACAGTGTAAACTTCGATGAGATGCGACAGACTATACGCTACGCGTCACGTGCAAGGCAAATTGTGAATAAAGCAGTTATTAATGAGGACCCACAGGTGCGTCAAATCCGCCTTTTGACAGCCGAATTAGATCGCCTCAAGAAAGTTATTCGCGATGCCGGGCATAACGAATTTAGCCGTGACTACGTTTTGGAATTGCAGCGTCGTAATAACTTTTTGGAGAAACGCTGTCAGGAGCAGGAGATGCTCATTGTGGAGCTTCAGGCTGAATTAGAAGGGCGTGTAATGACTAATCGGACGGAAGATTCACGTGCAATTTCTGCTAGACGAGCACGCCCTGGTCACTTGCCGGAAACGAGTGCACGACAGCGCCGGGACGCTGTTGAGGAAGAGAAAAACCCAACGCTCCTCAAGGCGCGGCTTGTCGAAGCCAAATCAGAGAATGAAGTGCTTCGTCGCCAAATTGCCGAGGAGGAAAGAAATAAACGACCCGATGCCTCCAACAGCGCCGAACAAGTTGCGGAGCTGAATATCCGTGTGCAAAATCTGAAGAGGGAGGTAGACAAAATGCGGAAATACGATGCGAAGAAGGAACAGTACATGCAGCGGTATTCCTTCTTTTATGTGGACTTGGCGTCGGATATTTTGCACAGGATAATGCTGCAGAAAGAGGAAGAGTTTGTGAGACAGGTGGCGCATCTCTTCATTTCCCAAAACGGTGAAATGGGCGATGGTATTCGCCGCCTTAATAAAGCCCATCGTGAGGAAATGGAGCAGATGCGCAAACGTCACGTGGAAGAAATGGAGGAGTTACATAAATTATCCTCTGCTCGACTGAAGGAGTCCATTGAGAAAAGCAATGAATTGTACCAGCAACTCATTGACAAGCACGTAGACAAGTTGAACTACGTGGAGGAACGAATGATGAATAACAAGGAGTTTTACGAGGCAGAACTGAAGCGACTTGGGGAGGAAAATGAAAAGACGCGTGTGAGATACGAAGAGCAGCTGGACAGGGCGCGTACCCAACACCAAAAGGAAACACGAAAGTTACGTGAACAGTTGAGTTCCGGCGCGTCGGATCGTCAACGCTCAGGAGAAGCCGCCAAACGTTTACAGGAAGAGCATGAGAAGGAGATGAACCGTCGACAGGAAGAAATGGACCGCTACCGCCAGGACAAGGAGCAGGAGATTTCTCGGCTAAAGAAACAAGTTGACAATGAAAAACTGCGGTACGAAAGTGACATGCTTGAGAAGGAGCGTCAACGGCGTTCTTTGGAGCGTGAAGTGAATGAGTTGCGGCGAGAGTTGCTTAAGGCACAGACAGAGCGAAATCGTATGGAGCAACAGCACCACACGGAGCTTCAAAATCTTTCGCAGCAGCAGGAACGTCTCGTTCATGTCAGTAACGGTCTGCTTTCCGACTGGGATAACCGTTCCTCGGCGATGGATGCCTCTTTCACTCAGCTGCGAGCCCTGCTGCAGACTCAGGACTACCTGAACTTCCGAGCCCGTCTTCGTGACGCAACGCTTGAGCGGAAGGACTACACGGCAGAGCTTGAGGCCGTGGAGGAGCGAAAGCGGCGCGACACACAGCGACTCCGAGAGATTGTGCAACAGCTGAGACAGAACCAAGAAGACAGCAAGGCAAGCATCCAGCGTTTTGAGGAAGACATCATGAAGCATCTTGCCCGTTCCAACAAGGCACGCCACAGTGGCAATAGCAGCAATAAAAACAGTCATGAAAACGGAAATAGTGACAGCAATAGTAATGCTGTTAAGAAAAATACTGATGGCAACGGTGCAAGCGGGGCAAACAAGTCGCCCACTTCTGTTCCCCCTGCACGTGCAGAGAAAAAAGAACCGTCCGTCAAGGCACGGGGTGGAACGTCAAAATAGTCCCCAACAAGAAAAATCATTCCCTGAATGATGTGAAAATAAATATATTTATATTTGTATTTATATGTATATGTATTTAGAAAAATAGAAAATGGTGGAATGCGCATCCATCCCTTATTAGTACGGCTATTTCCCACCTTTTTTCTTTTTTATTTTACCCCCGACTCTTCGTTGTATTTGCAGGTAGAGGGGAGATGGAATGGTAGAAGGCATGTGAGGGCACGTAAAAATACATATATACATGGAATAAACAAAGAGAGAAATAAATAACAAGGACGCGAATGAAAAGTGAGGGGTGAAATGGATGAAAATCAAAAGGAAAAGAAAAATTGTCATTATTATGTGGAATTGACAAAATTAACATGTGTCCTTTTATTATTATTATTATTATTATTATTCCATTTTTGCCTATGGACGGTAGGTTTGTTTGTTGTTTTGTTTTGTTTTGTTTTGTTTTCTTTTTGTTGCTTCTTTCATTGTTATTCTTGAAAACAAACCGTCTTACATCAGCGAAAATGGCATTCCCATTTTGTTATTGTTTCTTTTCTGTGTGCGCACATCTATTTTTACGTTTGTTTGGTTCTGTCGTCGTTTTTTTGTTGTTGTTTTTTTTCTCCTTCTTTTGGATTTGCCCCGTCTGCACCGACTCATATCACCGCTGTCGCTGTCGCCGCCATTACTGTTATCATTTCACTGGCATTGTTAGCAGCCGTTTTTTGTTGTTTTACGGTGCTTGCAAGGCGATGATGCGGGCCTCTGGCACCGGCGGGGGAGGGGCGGGGGGGAAAAGTCCGTGCAGTTCGGTGCAAAAAGAAGACGGAAAAAAAAAAAAGAGAAGAGAGGAGAGTTGAAATGTGGAGAGTCGGTGGAGGGTTCGAAGAAATGATATGGAGAAGTGAGTGGAAAATGAAGGCACCGCTGCCTTTGGCAAG